AGACAAATCTAACTGTCCTCTATTCTCACTACTTTTCTGCTGTGATTTTTGAATTTATCAGTGATAAAATAGCAATCATCCCCCCAGTATAATAGATAATTATAGGATCACTATAACGAATTATAAATATTCGTAGAAGGATATCAATGAAACTATTGGAACTGATGTGAGGGAAGGTACAAAGAAGTGGAAAAATTAGAGCGCCAAATATGTTTGCACCAGCATTTTATTTCTTTTTATATGGGCTGGCACCGCATATGAAAAAATGGGACACAACCACACGGTAATTAACATGTAATGCACCACACACAAGCATAAATGCTTTGGTTTAGCTAGCATTACCTGTATTCACTGTCTGGCTGCAGGCCTGTGACAAGGTGACTTGTCCCTGAATCCACAGTGATGGTTTGGTCGTCCAGGGTGATGACGTAGGAGGTAATCTCGGCCCCGTTACAGTTTGGCTCCTCCCACTTCAGGTGGAGGCAGGTAGACGGGGAGTGGCCCGTCTCTGAGGAGCTCGGGAGATCCAGGGGGGTAAGGGATGATACCTGGTCAGGATTTGTAGCTGGGGTCTGGAAACTGCTCTGCTCACTATATGGACCAGCACCCGCCTGATTGACCGCCTGAGTGGGAGACACAGAAACACAGAGGGGATGAGAGAGATTGAAGAGGGGGGGAAACTGCTGTGATTGATAGTGCTGAGATAGATCCTGGTGATAGAACACAGGTGAGGAGAGGGATAAAAAGAAAGGGATAAGTGAGGACTAAAACCAAGACAGATGATGATTAACAATAATAAGGGAAGAAGATAAATATGAAGGGATTTATTAATAAGCACAGGACAAAGAGCAAGACAAAGTTAAATGGGAGCATTAATCCTTTACTTGTGCTGTCAAACACATTAATATTCAGCTCAAGTATCCACTATTAAATGCCTTTCAATCGCTCGTTGTAATAGTCTCCTTCATTGCCTCTTACAGACTTCAAGAGGAGGAAGGAAGGACAAAATTGGCATTTTATATACATCTTGTCCATTCAGAAAGCTTGAACTAAAAATAAAAAATGTAGATAAATTGCTTCCTTCCATCCATTTGTGAACCTTGTAATAGTTACATGTAAAAAGCAGTATTAATGGATTAAATGTACTTAGCACATCCAAGCAGATGAGCAGTGTTTGTTTTCTTGTAAAAATGCACTGTAGCCACTTTCCAAAAACAACCAAGCACCATTCACGAGTAGATACCAAGGAGAAGGAATCTACAATTTGTACTTATATATAAATCCTTGACGGTTTATCTCAGCATTAAACTATCTAGATAACTCTGGGTCCAGCAAGAAAAGTTATACTTCAGTAGTTTCTCGGATTTATTCTCAGCTGTCAAATTTATTTTGCAGAGGCTAGAAAAACACATAGAAACTGATTTAACTTATCCTTACATTGGCGTCCCCCCATTCAAAGCATTCTCATAAAACAACTGCGTGTCAGGTTGTGCAGATTTGAAACACTGCTACAGAAGATGAACCAGTACAAGTTCATTCAGGTATAGAACGTATGGAGTCACACAGAGTTCAACCAAGTCAGCGCCTCTGGTGTGATCCATTCCTGCAATCTTCTTAAGGTGTATAGATATGAACACACAGGCGTACACTTCTAGTGCACAGAGACAAAGAGAAATCACATACATGTAGAAAAGCAATTATTAGGACAGTAGGTTGACCTTGGATTGTCAACCTATGAACTATTAACCGATTATAAATAATCCTATAAAGATGTGAGCCATAAAGTATGTTGTTATTGGATTCATAGCTTCAGAGGGTACAAGACAGAAAGGGAGTAAGGGAGAGAGTTAGACAAACAGAAGGAGAAGGAGAAAGACGGCACTTATTTATGCACCACATTACGGGTCAGAATACAAATTGAATCAATGACCATCAATCTTTCCCTGGAGTCTGAGTGTTTGTGTTGCAGCATCTTGGTTTCGTGTTTCCAGGCTGAATTTTTGTCACGCTCACAATTCAGTTATTTCTTTTGTTTCTGGAAGTGCTTATGTTCCATACACTAGTACGTTCTTCTTTTCTCATTGTCAGTTTAACTGTGCATGGCTTCAACATAAGTGAATGTTGTATGCCTATGTTCATCTAAATCCACCGTAGGGATATCTAGTAGTGTGTGCACTACCTGTAGCCTGCAGCAGTAATTTGTGGCAGATGTCAAATCTGACAGTTCACACTGCGTGGCAGATCCGCAGTAGATGAGCTCCATGGGTTCATCTTCCCTCGCCCACTCCAAACGATATTCAGAGATGTCTGTACCCGAACCCTCGGGGCTCTGCAATAGAAACACAAAATCAGCTCAATGGAATTAACAGATACCTGAAAGTTAATGGATTCAGGTCTTGTTTTGCAAACCCAAAATGAAAAACAAGATTATTTTTTTTCCATCTAAACTTAAGTCTATTGAGGTAGGTAAGTATTTGGACCCACATTTATTGTCATTTAACCTTGGTAAATCACCACAGCAGATTTGAAATCAAATGGTCAAGATCTGATTAAAGTGCAGACTTAATTCAAAGGTTTTAACAAAAGTGCAGCATTAACTGTTTAGAAATTGCAGCCATTATAACCATGCATAGTCTGATAGTTATACCATGGTTGCATAGTTACTGGCCAGGTGAGGCCTGTTCCTTAATTTTCCAATGACAAATTAGGTATATAAATCAAAAGTGTGCAACCTTCATTTGGTATATTTTCAGTGGAATATGTGGAGTATGGGGACCAAAAAATGATGAATGTGACTATTAGACTGAAAAACAAAAAAAAGATACCCTTTAAAGTGATAGGAAAAATTTTTTAGGAGTGGCCAAATCAGCAAGCTGGTATATTCTTAAGAAGGAATGAGCCTGCTAAGCAACACCAAAAGGCCCAAAAGATGACTTTTTATTTTAGAAAAAACAGTAAAAGGAATGCTGGAGCTCTTTAGCAGTGTTAAAAAATGTGACCTGTCTTTTTATATTTGCTTCTCTGTTTTTTGTTCCTTCCATACATTGTTTATTTCCTTTGATAAATGCAGCTGTGTTTTTGGTTTGCCTCACCTCCCAGTTGAGCGTTACACAGGTGTTACTGGTGAGTGTGATTATGGGAACTCCACACTGGGCAGGAGGACCCGCTGCAGTCGTCACCTCTGTAGGCTCAGAGTATGGTCCGTACTAAGGGAGACACAGATCGATTGACACAAAATAAATGAGAAAGTTGAATCATTTAGACAGTAAAAAAGTTTACAAAAGCTGAAAATCTAATTCTAATCCCAAACTGAAAAGCTGTGAAATATAGACACAGTCATCTTGTTCAATAAGCAACAGTGCTGAGGTTTTGGCGCCATCTAATTCACTTTCAGGTGACCGGATAATCAAAACAATCAAATCTTATAATATTAAGTTAATTTTCTAGGGCACACTGATCCAACTTCTCAGTGTCTGTGTCTACACCTACGGTTTTAAGTTGAATTTTCTGCTTGTTGCTTAATATTGGATGTGTATTAAGAGCTCCCAAGTTCGTGTGCTCAATATGCAGAGCAAATTTCAAAGCCATAAGTAAACAAACGCTATTTAATTCAATATTTCATGCTTATCTGTTATAAAACATCCCTTCTTTTATAGGCTGACCTATTGAAGTGGCTGGATCAAGCTTCAAAAGGTTTCAGCTACGATTTTCTGTTGTTCTTTAATGGATTTTATGGTGAATTACCAGATCGTCATGGCTTTCATTTATTTATTTTCATTTTTATTATTGATCACACTCTTGCTTTGAAAAGCCAGACAGTTTCTCACCCCAGCCTCATTGGCAGCCCTCAGTCTGAAGCTATATGTTGCACCAGGAAGCAAACTAGCGACAGTGCACTGTAGCTCCGAGCCATGATACACCTCCGTTGGCTTGGCGTCTCCCTCACTCATCTCCAGACTGTACACACACTCCTCACACACTCCCTCAGGGGAGTCTAAGAAGATCAAATAAGAGAGAGCGATAAGACGAAACATTTACAGTGAAACTAACCACAATACATGAATTGTGATGAAAATACACAATACATATGTCACGATATCTTGTTACACATAAATTCTTAATGATGTATTCAGTATTTCACAAGCTTTTTATACTGCTTACAGATTAATACACAGGGTATATTTTGAATACTTTCTAGGGGTTTTTCCCCATAAACCTGGTGTTATTCTGTGCTTCCAGAAAGATGAAAGTAATAAATAATGGTGACAGTGGGGAAAACCCTCCAATATTTTATGCTTGACCTTCAGCTCGAGCCAGTAATTGCAGCTGCAGTAGTGCCTGAATGTGAGCTGATTAGAGACATGACCAGCTGTATTAAACTGGTAAAAGAAAGAACTTCCTCAGCATGGCAGGCTGGAAGACCTTTTCCTGCCAAGAGATAACAGTACTAATCTGCAATAATAGGCTGACATTAGGAGAGTTAAGTCAAATATGAGGCTAGGTTAGGCATTTAATGAGCTAAATTAGGGCTCAATTAGGTTGAAACGTGGTTGACTCAGCTTACATTAGAATTGGCCAGGGAAACATATTAAACGGCCAGAAGGTGATTTAGCTGCCTTATACGAAAATAATTCGAATATATTCTAGTAAATAAAAGTAAACAGCGTGCGCGTACGCCTGAACTCACCCCATTCTAACTGCACCTCCTTGTGTTTGGCTTTACCCACAATCCTTGGCGGCTGGCAGGGCCCTGGTGGGACACTTAATGTACGGACTGGAACAATAACAGTGCACTTAAAGAGCAAAAAATAAAAGGAACAAAAGACAATTACAGATAGGCTTAATTATTGGTGTACATGTATAATTTTAGGAAAGATTACTGAAAAGATTGTTTGACAACAACAACTATATTTTTCAGTGCAAAATATCTTTTGAAATTCCCATCATTATAGATTCCCATCACTTAGATTATAGAATATTGCTATTTTTGTATTATTGTTATGCAGATGACATACAACTGTACATATTAGTGTAACCTCAGACTGACAGTTTACAACACTCACTCAAATAAATTGACTAAAATTTATTATTGGACGTGCAAAAACTTCACACAACTGAACTTAGATGGGCCTGAAATTGGCCCCATTGCCTTAAAGAAAAAAGAAACATATGTATATATATATATGTATATCTATGTGTGTGTGTGTATTGCTGAAATTTGTGTATGCATGCATGTATGTGACTCTTACTGGGCTGTGTCCTCCGGTGGTGATACTACACACACGTAGGCGATAAACAGTCCCTGGTCTCAGTCGCTCACACACACACTGTGTTGCCGGACCACTGTACGCTACTTCCCATTGGTTTGCTGCACACACACACACACACACACACACACATACACACATAACAAGGAATTACACAACTTGTCATATTCATGAGCTAAAGCACATACACATAATCAGCTGCTGTTTTGTACGTATTTGTGCAGTTTCCAGAAACAGAATCCCACTGACAACGCTTTGTTTCTGTTCTGCTGTTGATGGATTGCGTATGCCTGTGAAATATAATACTCTCCCTGTGAAGCAGCACTATGCCGTGCAAATATAGGCCTTGTTTACATCACGGCGTAAATTTCCTAGCAGAAGTGTATTGTGATTCTGTAATGCATAATACTATGTTATCTCTAAAGACTGAATGTACCTAAAAGTGAAGTTTGAATAAACCTAATATGGCAGAGTCATTCGTTTCAATGACCACATCTTTTTAAGAAGAAAAAGGTTTTAAAAGGCCTGTCTTGATATCACAGGACAGTGTAAATACAAGCTAGATAAAATCATCCAGATGACTTTTTAGGTCAATTCTATTGACTAAAGAACAAAGGCTTTTGACATTCTCTTCTTTTGTACACTGACACTCAACAGCAATCTTTTACTATAGGTTGAAAGGAACTAGACAAGATTAGGTTTCCTGTAGGGCAGGTGTGAGCAACGCTGTGTGCATCAATATCTTAATTTGATGCTAAGAAAGACTCAATTATGGCTATGGAAGAGAAAAAGGTCTGTCCTAAGGTGCTGGAAAATCTTTCATGGTATGTTTGAATAGATACAGTGACAGATAGATATAACACAGGTACCTTCAGAACATCCCTCTGAGATCTCAAGCAGGTACGTAAGAGCTTCTGATCCCCCATTGTCCATTGGAGGATCTGTCAAAACAATTGATGAACTGATTTTAGTTTGGAATATTATTGCACATAAACAATATTTCAATTCGCAGGAGACAACATGTAGAAAATAGTTGTTATTATTTTAGTTTCTTTAGTTAGCTAAATTATTTTATCTGGGACATTAATATCAATACCAAAAATCTATCTGTTGCAGTCTTACGTATTTTTTGCAATTCTTCTGAAAGTGTGAAACACACTAACAGCAAACAGTGTCAGGATTCAGTTTGATCTTTGTTTCTGTACGAAGGTATGACTTTTTTGGTTTGGACTGTGGTCCAGGGAAGGTTGCACACATGTAGTCTTGGCTTGGATAATGCTGAAAAGTCTGTACCAAATCAATTTTGTATGAAAGCATCTCAATGAGTATCTGTATGTATATGATATGATATATGTGCATGCATGTGTGCCTCTTTACCCCATGTGACAGTAAATCCATAGGGTGTTGCCTCTGTGACACAGGGTGCAGATGGAGGGCCCGGTTTGTCTGGATTGGTGGTGCAAACCAAAACTTCACTTGGACTGCTCTTTCCCTCCATGTTTGATGCTATGAGCTGCAGGAAGAGAGGTGGACAAAAGGGACAATTAGAGACACAGAGCACGTAACAAAGGTACAAAGACAAAGAGTGTAGTGGGGGATCAGAAATCGAGAATAGGTTGATAGAAAGGCCTAAATTAGGCTCAGTGACTGAACAGGCGACTGCATGCTGCAAGGCCAAACTGTACTAGCCTGGGTTCAATTCCAATCCAAGGCCCTTTGCTGCACATCATGACTGCTCCCATTCTCCCTGCTTTCCTTTCTCTTTTTACTTAAATTTGTCTAATACTGGTCAGAAAAATCCAAAAAATAGATAAAGGATGAAATGAAGGGGAAGAGAAAAAGAGGAAAGAAGAAAAGGCGAAAAGAATATAGACAAAGTGGAAAACTGAGAAAAGAGCCACAGCAAGCCAAGCAGAGACACACAAAAGAATTTCTGAAAACGTAAATCAATTGTCGTGATAAATAGGAGCCATTAGTCTCTGCCCCTTTACGTGTTGTTGTTTTGGCTTCTCTGCCTTCTTCTCTTTTCTATTATCTAATTCTGTCACTACATCCAATAGATAATTTTGCTTTGTTACATTATGTCTACACCAAATGGATAGCACAGGGAAAGCAGAAAGACTTGACTCTTTGTGTGTATTCATGTGTTTTGTGTTTTCGAAGATGCAAAGCTTTATCAAACAATGTGCATGAGGCAAGGTAGAAAAACCCAAAATAAACACAAACTCACCTGATGAGGTACGTGCAAGAGGATTTTGATAGATTTGTACAATTTCCTCAAATTATGAACAGGCACACAAACCACAGCTGAATGTTGTGTACTTGACAAATGGTTAGTGATTTGCAGTGTTTGACAACTCGTTAAACTATAGCCAAAATGACATATTTTGCATATTCTCTCTTAGTAAAAAAGCTTCTGATTTTCAATAAGTGGGACACAAGTGCAGAAACCAAAACACAAATGCTTACCCTGAATTTATACTGTGTACTCCTCTTCAGGCCTTGTACAGTACAGGTCAAGTTTTCTCCAGTGTACTTTGGATGAAAGTCTGTTCCCTGTGGGAGGTACAGTGTTTGATTCTCTCAGGGTGCATTAGGATCAGCATAAATTATTGAGTCTATGGATGCAATAAATGATGACTTTTAGCTCACATTTTATTGTATATAGATATATATGGATACAGTAGAAAGAGAGCAGAGAACCTGTGGGAACATATAGTGTGGTTTCTTTTATATGTACAGTACTGTGCAAAGGTTTTAGGCAGGTGTGGAAAAATGCTGTAAACAAAGAATGCTGTACATCAGGGGTCCCCAATCCCAGTCCACGAGGGCCGGTGTCACTGCAGGTTTTAGATCTCACCCTGGGTCAACACACCTGAATCACATGATTAGTTCATTACCAGGCCTCTGGAGAACTTCAAGACATGTTGAGAAGGTAATTTATCCATTTAAATCAGCTGTGATGGATCAAGGACACATCTAAAACCTGCAGGGATACCGGCCCTCGTGGACTGGGATTGGGGACCCCTGTTGTACATGCTCAGAGTTTATGTCTGTATTGCATATTTGGATTTACGGCTGTGCATCAGTGGCACTTACCCTAGATCTTTTTCATGAGATTATGAATATAAGCTTCGATATTCCTTTATACTGTCTTTTTCATTTGTTATTTTCATGTGTATATCCGTAACTTTCAAACTGAGATTTTTTAGTCTTCGGTTGACTGACTGCTGTAGTACAAGACACCCTGATGCTGATTTATGTAACTCGTAAACTGGGCACAAACTAACAAACAGACAAAAGATGTTCTAGATTCTTCGAGGTCTGTTTTTAATGTAAAGAAAAATAAAAGTTACAAATGTTTTTGTACATGGACGGTACTCACGCTGTTGTCCTCCTGGATCTCAAGTGTGTATTTGAGCTGCTCCACATTGGGACTGCCCTCAGGACGCCCCCACTCCAGGGTCACCCAGGACACCCCTGCCCTGACAAGCCGTGGTGCCAGAGGCAGAGCAGGCAGGGTGCCCATGGTGATATACACCACCTCTGAACTGAAGCCACTGCCGGAAAAAGAAATTTCCAATTTAAGCTTTCCTTCAAAACGCTGAAGAAATGATTGTCATGGGTTTCAATTTCAGCTGAGATGGAAATGAAGTGAAAAGGACACTGACAGAAGTGCTTTGGTGATTAATCACAGAGGTGCGTGGGGTTGTGAGTGAAGACGTTACATGAGTTCTGAAGAGGATGTTAAACAGAGAAAAAAGGAGTGCATAGGGAGGATGGATGATTTGTAGCGGGGGGAAAAATATTCAAGTTAGAATAAAAGCAAGTAACCCAGCTTCAAATCTGCCAAACTGAAGGATGCATTAAAGCTGTTTTGAGTTCGTTCACAGAGCTAATATCTCCTCCCTCACTCTCAGTCCCCTCTATGACCTCTCTGCTCCCTTTCGCCCTAATAACTGCAGGCGAGATGGTCCACGCTATAATGACAAGAGGAGGCAAGAGAAGAGTGGAAATAGAGGGAAATGGGAAAAGAGGAAGTCTATTCTTCTGTATGTAACTGATGTTACATGGAGAATAGCAGCTCGGTGCATGCCTGCTGCCGTAGCGGTATACAATGAAGAACAACAACAAAAAAACATGCAATATGCCTCCCACTGTATTCATGCAAGTGTGCGTATATAAAACGTATATATACATTCAATAACAGAACTTTACCTTCTGCCCATGTCGTTGTGTGCAGCCAACCTGAATGTGTAGTCACAGGCGGGGGAGAGTCGTGTGACCTTATAGTGCCTCTGGTTCCCAAAGTAACATTCTCTGAAAACGCTGTTCTTCTTTCCCTGCAGAGAAGACGTATACAGAAAAGACATAAAGACAAGAACGGACATTAGGATTGATAAGCTCACCTACAACAAAATGTTAAATGTGAAGAAAAAAAATAGCACGACAAAGTAAAGAAGTATAAATAGAAGATGGGAAGAAAAGGCAGATATTCATTGCAAGAGCATAATTCACAGTTTTATTCCATCTTGTCTGAAGAGCCCAATGTTGACATGTGTTTAGGGACACTGGTGATAGGTGTAAGGGCTGCTTTGAGGTAAGGGTAGAGCATGACAGATGACAGACTTACCTCATCCCACTCGAGCAGGTAGTTTGTAATTTTGGATCCGTTGTCACCCGGGGGCTACGGGTGACAGTGAAATGGACCGAGGGAAGCAGACAAGAGAGAAGAGAGAGATTGAGAGATTAGCTAAGGATAAAAGACTCTGACAATGAGACAGACAGAATACCGGCTGTGTTTTTATGATTGGCCTTATATCCTGTCTGGGTGACTGATGTCACTCTTTATGAATGACAGTGTGTAAGGATATAAAAAAAAAATACTAAAATAACAGGTCAGAGAGGACACAGGGGTGCATTCCAGTTGTGCAACTACTTATGGCGATCGTGGCTCAAGAGCTGGGAGTTCGCCTTGTTATCGGAAGGTTGCCGGTTCGAGCCCCGGCTTGGACAGTCTCGGTCGTTGTGTCCTTGGACAAGACACTCTACCCGTTGCCTACTGGTGGTGGTCAGAGGGCCCGGTGGTGCCAATGTCCAGCAGCCTCGCCTCTGTCAGTGCGCCCCAGGGTGGCTGTGGCTACAACGTAGCTTGCCATCACCAGTGTGTGAATGGGTGGATGACTGGATGTGTAAAGTGCTTTGGGGTCCTTAGGGACTAATAAAGCGCTATATAAATACAGGCCATTTACTTGTCGGTGCTGCACGGCTGATGCACTCAAACTATTAACGCATCAGAGTTGTAATATACTTATACTACTATTTAAAAAATCATTAAATGTGTCACAATGACAAATCAATGTGATGTTTCTTGGGAGTGAAAATACTTCATGGAGGAGTATCTGGACAAGAAGATGTCTGTAGCTGTACCTTCCACTGTAGGGTGAGGCTGGTCTTGGCACGATTCGTGAGTTTTGGCGGTGACGGGACATCAGGGACCGTGGATTCTGTGGTAAACGAGCCGGCCTCTGAACACGAGCCTCGAACCAAATTGTACATTGCCGACACCCTGATACAGAAAGACAAATGAAACAAACAGTTAAAGGATGTTTTTATGCAACATTTCAGTGATTCCCGGACCCCCATATGCTGCAACACACAAGTAGTTAAATATTAAAAGGATTGAGGCCTTACCGTACGTGGTAGTCTGTAGCTGGCCTGAGATCTTTCAGATGATACTCCAATTCTTCACCACTGAAACATAGACAAGAGTCACCAGTGTCCTTTGGATGACCTTAAGGATTAAATTTGGACGCTGTATTTTTTTCCCCCCAACTTCTATGTTTCCTACCTGTATATGAGGCGATATTTCCCATCTCTTCCCTTATCTGAGAGAGATACCTCATAGGAGCAAGACACAGGTATCCCGTTACTATGCCTGTTCACCAGCCCTGCTGGGGGAGCCCAGGACAGCCGTGCAGTCCGTGCCTGAATATTGGAAACCTTCAGGACACAAAGGAATACACATAGTTATAGCCGCATTGCTAGTGAAGTCAATAACAGGTAGTTAAAAGCCGCTGTACAAATGACTGTTGGATTTGCATACAATGTTACCAATAGTAGTCATTAAAGGCAATATTTTAAACCACAACATCTTGTGGTTTAAATGCCTGTTTGAAAAGAAGCTGAATCCATCCATCGAGGTGAATTTATGCTGTTTATATAACTCTATGTGTACATTTGCAACAGACTACTGCATTCATCATAAACGCTTTAAGTTACAGGACATCGAAGATGCATCATGCATCAGCACTGAAAAAATAGACAGTGTCACAAGGAAACCTCCGAATTATTTTACATTTCCTTTTTTTATTACTTCTCATTCTCAACTATAATAAACTTGATCAGTTTATAAGTCACCTGAGGTTTTAAGCATAGATAAATCACTACTACTGGACATCAATCAAAAGTCTATTTCATGTATTTCTCAGCATCTCCATCTGTAGTTATACTAAATTTCCTCTTTGTATCATCACTCAGTTCTCAGTCTCAAGCCGTGGCGTAAACTCAAAGATGTTAAATGGGCCGCTTGCACAGCATGCTGACCAAACTGTTTTAACTTGGAATGAGCAGTTCCTCTCTAGTAAACCATGTCTGCACGGAAGCAGCTCATTCATTCAATCACATTCCCCTCAGGGAAGGAAAAAAGCTATTACAGAGTGTGTAGCTTGGGTGAGCAGATGCTGCCCTCAGGTGGCCAGCATTAGCACAGCTTAAATTATAATTACTCTCCCTGCTGCTCAAGCCCCCCAAAAAACGTTGAAAATGAGGAATGCGCTGCATATACAAGTCAGTATAGATATTATTCTAAACGTAAGCATTTCATTTTCATGTGACTCAAAGAGACCAAATAAACATACGGAAAAGTCATCACTGCTTAAGCCAGCTGTGACTGCATCGGACAGGGAGGTGATTGATGAGAGCGGTTTGAATGTGTGTGTGCGTGGAGTTGTGGGAAGAGGTATGCCAACCTGTGGTTTTTCGATTGCAGACAGCATGTCTTGAACACGCTTCCCCTCTGAATCATGATCTGAAGAGAAAGACAGACAAAAAGACTTATTTATCAAGAATGACATAATAAATATTCCATCATAAAAGAGAGGCTCTGTGTATAAACTGAGGTGAGAATTCCCAAGGGCATTTTTCACCACGTGTCAGGCCATAATTACAATCTTTGAAAACTGTTTCTACCTTTCTTAATGGCAGTTTGATTGCCAGTGAAAATTCTAACTTTCAAATCAGATCCACATTGTCTCATTTTCAGCCATGCAGCCAATGAGAACATTTTCAGCTCCCAGATGTTACTGTCAAATGTAGAAATCGAGGGCTCATTATTACACAAGGTCGGCCAAGGTTTGCGTTTAAATGGGGGAATTAAGGTTGAAAATGTCACCAAAAACCATTTGCATTCCCTAATCAACTGTAATGTTTTCTGTGGCATTTTCAGTCCAGCAAATAATTCAACCATCTGTGGAAAAACGAAACAAAAATAGCCCAAAATACAATAAAAAAAACCCCATCAATTCTTTAGAAATTCTGTTGCCAAATGGTGTGTGATGCAACACTTGTTTTCTTCAGTAAGTGCCTATTTCATCTCATCAAGTCGTTACACAGCTGCCGGGGAGGAGGAGAGAAAAAACCTAAATGCATTCCACAGAAAGGATTACTCATAAATTTCTGACCTATGAAACAATATGGGGATCACCAAAACAAACAAACAAATAAATAAATAAACATGACTCATATTCCACAATGGCTACTCTGCTTTGTACATAAAAACTGATGATGGTTTTTAGATTAAACAGTTCATAGAAATAATAATTCTAATCATTATGATGCACCATTTTCACATCAACTACATCTACATCTGTGAGTAATTGTTCCCAGGAAGGTCTGACATCAGTTTGGCTGTTTTTGTAGCCCAGCTCGTTGACTTTATTGCGCGACTTCTACTGAATACATGTGTATATGATGACTGTGTTTCGTGCATTTTTTAAAACGTAGTTAAACAGATTTAGCTCGAAAGTGACATATGTGGATGTGAGATCGAGAAAAACTCTGATTCTCCATCTTGTCCATCAAGGACAAAAATAACGACTACATACGCTTATTTACATAGGAGAAAAAGGACATTAATCTGTATAAAAAAAACATGGCTCATGTGATATTAATATGAAAAGTAATTTTGAAGCTTAGAATTAGACAGTTCCCATGTAGCTATTTTGACAATCAATTATTCATTAAATCATTTATTAAGCAGAAATGACAAAAGCACATTTCCCATTTATTAGAACTGAGCTTTTGCAGTTTTTCCTCTATTACAAATCAAAGTTATTTAGATTTTCATGTAGAATATGAAGCTGTCTCTAACAGATAGCGGGAAACATTTTTCAATGACTTCTTTCATTTCTTAAATAAAATCTGTTCAAAATAATTATAATGAGAATATTTGTAACCCACAAGAAGATAAAGGCTACTTAGTAAGCATTTCAGGGTGTGAGTGGAGCAGTTGTTTTTACTGTCTCTTCTGAGTGTGTCACTGGTTCTGCACAGCCTCTTTGAAAGTGAGCAGCACAAACACATGCATGTAAAAAACTGGTCCACCGACACATGTAAAGGTGATTTAGTAGACGCTCGAGGTTGTTATGAGGGTGAGCGCAAGTGAATGTGTGCGCACACGTGTGGGAACTTCCCACTCCCCCACCGCTGCCGCCCACCCCCACCCCGTGTGATCCCCGAAGTTGAGGTTTTTCCTGATTGAAGGGGGATCTGCTTTCTCCATTTCAGTGTGACCACTCGAGATCACACAGGATGTCTCTATGAATCTTTGCGTGAAGGTAAGCAACAGCAAGACCTGCATGAAACCAAGATTGATTGATGCTCGTGCTACAGGAGCGAGGAAACTGTCAAACATGCGAGCATGCGTGCATGCACGTGAATGGAGACCTTACACACAAGCGCAGTATATTTGTGTAAAACGCAGTTTGGGTTTCAAAGATCGATGTATATTTGGCACAAATGATGGAGTGTGCCTGTGCGTGTGTGCATGTATGTCAGTTCCTCTGACGGGTTATGGAGGAGAGCGCCCTAATGTGCCTGGGGTACACTTATGAGTCATGGCAACAGTGATGTCATGGAAGCACAACCTCTACTTGCCCTCCCTGTGTGTGAGAAAAAAAGGGCAAGAGCAAAAGAGAGACTGTGTGTGTGCGTCTCAGTATTAGGTCATGGGAGATTGCTGATGGGCAGTGGGGGGGAAGTTTAAGCTACTGTTTGTACATGTGTGTGTTGGGGCTGGCAGCACGGATAGAGTTCAACAGATGCACTGCTAGACACATTAGCTCATTAGTGCTCTTTTCTCTTCTTTTTTTATACATACACTTATCTTTCCATTCTTCCATTGGGACAAAACTGAACTTTTTCTCTTTTATGGAGTTACAGCACAGCTCCAGACATGAAGAGCTCCATCAAACAGGCTGACCCAGCTTATCGGATCAGCCGTTGAGTGAAAAAAAGACAGGGGTATGGCCTGCTCAGTGATTTTGCCCCACATTTACAGTACTGGTCTCATGTAACCAAGAGCATAACGTTAGGAGGTGGTCTCAACAAATTCAACTTCTGGCATAAGAAGAGAACTTTTTTAATATTTCAGAAAATGTGTAATAACGTTTGAAAAACACTACTTCTTTACCTCACCACTGAGTGTTATGACTGGCGGTCGTTGGCGAGTCCATCTGCTTAAGTGTTTAATACCGAGATGAACCAGGAGATGATGCTGACGGCTGAAATCTGAAACTGAACCTCTACTCTGTGTTACTCCACACCCTCCTGTGTCCTTACTGTTCCTCTCTCTTCTGTTTTTGGCGCTGCCCACGCACCATAACTTCCTATTCTCGTCTGACCTCACATCCCGTCTGTGTCTGACCGACTGTGTTTGATTACCGAGAACAGCCAGACGGAGCACAACGGACAGCAGGAAGAAGAGGAATAAGGGAAAATGATGGGGGGGGGGG